GAAGAATGGGAGCCCGTAGCTCTTTTTCGGAGAATTTTTCTTTTTGCCTGCTCTGAAACGTGAAAATTTGACGCGCCAAATACCGATATGCCGGGTATTTAAAAACATATGCAATTTTAACCCACTTATGCAAAAATATGCATTTATGGCAATATATGCACAAATATGCAAAATAAATATAACTTAAATTGATTCCAAATGCTTCAAAACATGTACAATTTGTTAAAATGCAAATGCATATATTTCAAAGCCCTGTACATAACATAAACTTGGCTAGAGTGGCGGAGGACATGATAATTAATACAGGTGAGAATCGATGGATACTAAATGTTCCACCATCGACCCTTTCAAACCACACATTTACGCTAATAAACACATTCGGTCTCACTATACACAAAGAAACACAAGAGACGAGATATCTGTAAATAAAAATTACTATATATACATGTTCGGCTACTTGTGTTACAAACTTTGCCAGTAGATTCTCCATTCAAAAGGGAACCAAAAAGTACTAATTAATTATGGTCCGAATCTCAACAGTTTCGAAGTTATTTCACTTTTTCAATTTTTTTAAACATTTCATGACCTTGCTTCAAATAAACGATGATACCTCAAAAACTAAAAGGTTTTGGGCTAATTCGTTGATAAAAATTGAAAACTACATTAAATTTCCAATGAGATGTGAACAATACTAAATTTGTAAACGTTGGTGAAAAAAGCGGTTTAGTAGCCAGAACATGGAGATTTTTTTTTCAATGTTGAAAAACTTACTATGGTGATTCGAAACTACTATTTCCAAAACTAGAAACCAGCAAATTTCAGAAAATGTACTCCATTTAATATCTTTTTTAGTGGTGTAATTGCGTTTTAATTATTTTTTTAAAGATGAAGAAATTGCGGGAGGAAAGGAAAAAATCTTGGCTGACGGATTGGTAAGGTGGAAAATTAAAGAAAAACATTTAAGGAAATTTTGAATGAATTTATTAAACTTTTTTAAATTTTGATTCGAAATGCTCTCCCCCAGGAAAGGAAAAAAACAGTGGTTGACGGATTGGTAAGGTGGAAAAATTAATATTAATAGAAATTAAAAAAACTTGAAAGAATGAACTAAAAACGTTTTGAATCGTAAAACTCTTTTACTCCGGGGAATAATAATACAATAATCCTTTAATAAAAGTTGCAGCCGTGTTGGTAAATAAGTAAACAATTGCACTTCTTCGTTTCAGAATCCAAATTAAAAAAGTTTAACAAATTCATTCAAAATTTCCTTAACATATTTTTTAATCTTTCCACTTTCCAATCCGTCAACCAAAGTTTTTATCTTTCCTTCATCATTTGCTTCATCTTTGAAAAAAGTAATTAAAAAAGCAATTACACCAATAAAAAGGATTTTAAATGGAGTAGGTTTTTTGAAATTTTATAGTCTTTAGGTTTGAAAATGTAGTTTAGAATCATCATAGTTTATTATTTTTCAAAGTTCTGACTACTTAAACGATTATTTCATCCACGTTTACAAATTTAGTATTAATCAAATCTTGTTGTAAGTTTAACGTAGTTTTCAATGTCCTTCATTGTCAAATCCTTTTAGTTTTGGAGTTATCATTGTTTATTTGAAAAAAGGTCGTGAAATCTTAAAAAATCAGAAAAAGTGAAATAACACCGAAACAGAGGAGATTCGGACCATAGTTAATTAGGACTTTTTGGTTCCATTTTGAACATAGAATCTACTGGAAAAGTTTGTAAAACGAGTTGCCGAACACCCTGTTTACCGTAAAAAATCTATTTTCTTCTTACAATCGGAACGGAGTATCCTAGTGCTCGCCTTGCTCAACCTCAACGTTCTCATACTGGCATTCCCACACGATCTTTATATTGAGCTAAACAAATGCCACCGTTCAATTATGTGGGACACATCGTGCAAAGCACATACGTGGGATTCGGCCCAACCGAGTGAGAAAAACTTGAAATCAATATTCAAATTTTTGTACTAAATGGCGACATGGCATGATTTTATTGCCGGAGGTTTGCAACAAAACAAGTTCAGCATCAATAACCGCTCAACTATTTTAAAGTTAAAACGTATACTTTGTCGAGAATTAAAGCCCAATAATTTATTTTGTTATAAATTTACATCAAACGCTATTCTTCCAGTTGATAATGTAAACCGTAGGTTTTTCCAAAACGCGTAGAATAAAAGATTTTACAAATTGTAAATATTTTCGTATATTTAGGTTTTTATTGTATATTATGATTTTTAAAATATATTTTCTTACCATTTATAAAACTTTCTCTGATTTCCTTTTCTGATTCAATTATTGGTTGTTAAGGCCGTCGAAAACTAGAGCGTGGAGTTAGAGGGCTTGTCGCTAATATTGGAATATTTCCCAAGGAACACCTCTCATGTTACATTTGGTTTATTCAATGGAGGAGAGAGGTTTAGCTGAGGAATATTGAAGTGTAGTGTTTCACGGCTCAGGTCGAGATCTTCCATTTCGCTTTTTCCAGAATATAAAGAGCGTGGATTGTTTTGGTCGGTATGAAATGGGCCTGCTTTCTCTCGCCCCTACACGTGTTGCTTTTTTGTCAAACTATGCTGATTATATTTTACAATAGTAGTTTTTCTAATTTGAAATTTTTCTTCTGTTTCAGGTATGTTCACAAAGAAGCTGTGAGTTAAAATTAGAATATTTTAAATTTAATTTTTTACTACCACTGTACAAATGTATACATTAGGTAATGGGATACAATATTTATCATTTGCATATGACCTGAGGTTGTTGCTCTCCCAGCTTGTCCCGGGACTACCTCCGCTTCAATCGACTTACTGGGTTGTAGGGATGCGTAATGTCGGACGAGGATCGGACTAATGTATGAGGGTAGTTCTTCATGGAATGTGGAAAATTTGGTGTGTATTAATTTATTTACAAAAGGTAGTTTGAAGTCGTTGTGGAGGGTGGTATTGGAGACATAGTAGGGAACGTTGACTATGTCCTTTTTAAAAAAAAGATAGTTCCTACTAGCAGTAAGTTGTTTTCCAACGATCCAGATTTCGAGCCCTTAGCTCATCATCAGGTTGAAGGATTTCTACAACCACGTATCTCGACTTGAATTGCAAAAATGAACCCGCCGATATCCCCGCCAACGCGACGTTCAAATGAGAAGCTGGTTTTATAATGGCGCTCAATTTGAACGTGCGAAAAGCGGGAATTATAACACAAGTAAATATTATAATGGTAAATACTGTAAGAAATTAATTATAAATTAGTGATTAAAGATAAAAGATAAAAAATTCCAATAATACCTTAATATTATTAAATTATTATAAAAATAATAACAATTAAAATAATTAAGTTAATTATTTGGACGTTTAATATTATTTATGTACAAATTTAAAATGGAGGTAGATCAAAATCTATTATATTATTAATGCATTTATCTCCATGTTCAATTTTACATTTTTTTATTTTAAATTTTTCAAACCAATCTATTCTCTCCCTTTGTTGAAACTATGTAACACTGTTGGATTTAAATTTGAATTGAAATTATGTTTTATTTCTTTTAGATGGTCCTTAAATTCCGAAAATTTGTTCTATTTAGGCAAATGTTATTTTACTCTCGTTTTTATTTCTCTACCGCTTTGTCCTATATATTTAATATCACACTCATTACAATTAAGTTGGTAAACCCCGCTTTTTGCCTAGTTGTCTATTTTGTCTTTAGGTTTTGAGAGGATGTTTTTAAGTGAACCCGTACTTCTAAAAGCTATTCTAAAACCTTCTTGTTTAAAAATTTTAATTTTTTCCGATAATTCACCAATGTATGGCAAACAACGGAAACCTAATGATTCATTTATGGTGGGGTGGCTGAATCCTATTGTTGATTCTTTTAAACTTAAAATTTTTATTCTTTTAACTAGCAACCAATTCTAGATACCCATTGTTTTACTAAGGTTTTAATAGTTTCTAATTATTTTTTTTAGTTAGCAGGTGTTAATGGAAGTTTTAACATACGGTCTATGAGCCAAATGAAACCAACAGCCTTTTGGGACCATGGGTTTACTATGTTTCTTAGGACTTAGGATTGGAAGACTGAATTCGTTGGATGTTAGTAGGTTTAGCGATGCCCTATAGTCTGTATGTCCAAATCAGTTTCAGTAATATTTTGTAAAGTATCATTTTGTTTCTTCTTGACATGTTAATGTCCGTTCAAGTAGTGTTTAGAGAAGTCTGAAGCGTCTGTTCAATTTTTAATTAATTATTCTTTTTATGTAAGGTCTTGGTTAAGATAAAAAAGTCAGTGTCTCGAGCGGGATTCGAACCCTCGACCTTCGGCTCAATAAGCCGTTGCTCTAATCACTTGATGAGATATCATGAGTTCGTCACCTTCTCAAACTACAACCGTTGGAATTTTCTCTCTTTTTGCCATTAAATCATGAGCTTCACAAAAATTCGCCGTATTTCAAATCATTAAAAAAACCCGATTTAATATTAAAAATATATTGTGTTGCAGACAATGACAAATCAATTTATTCCTAAAAACATTAGGTTATTTATACAATTAATTAATTATTTTGAAAGTAATTAATCTATAATTGACCTTTCACCGTTAAACATACAATGTTGCGGTTCTCTCATGCTGCCTCCAAGAGGTGTTACAAGTGGAAGGTATTACATACTACCATTGTTCCAAGACGAATCTGATTAATCAACTAAATCTTTAGGGTAAACAGCAAAGTGCCAATTTCTGTTTTTCTTTTAAAGTCATCAATCATCAATGAGAATTCTTTTCCTCCTCTTCACACCTCCAATTTCGTGTTTAAAGAGCAAATACATTAAGATAACGAAAACACCCTAGACACCAGCACCTTCTCTCTTTCATTAAATGAATCCTCACGATCGCGGTTTCCACGAAAACACTTGGAGCGCTGTTTTGATTTTGAATGGCTCGTTGCTGTGGCGATTCATCACTTGGATCTATTACAAATCTGTCTTATTATTTAGATTCGGATGGAGGGAGTGGTGGCATGCATTTCCGGAAAGATTGGAGGCAGACCGTTGAGATGAAGACGTAAGTCCTCGTGCCGAATGCATGAGAAATGCGTGCCTCTAACTTGAAATGTCAATACAGTCAGTTTTAATTAACAAGTGTTCTTTTTTTCTTTTTTTTTGAGTGTGTAGCATTTTAGTGAGTGTGTAGCATTTTTCGTTTCAGAAGATAACATTCCCGGCCGGTTTGGGCTAATCCACAATTTTTCACAGAATTTCAAAGTCCTCTGTTTCAAACCAAATCGGATAACAAGAACTGCGGATAATAGGAAACACATCGAATTTCAGGCTTCGAAACATTTTCGTCTATCTGCACATCAAGCAGAACTTCCTGTTCCTATCGTCAATGTATGAACTTAAGTACATATATTTCAAGTATTTTAGGTACGGTAACATGCATAAAGTTTAAAAGTTTATTCGACGCAAGAAAACAATATGTACATACATCGACTGGTATGTTTGATGTATAACCTACCCTCAACACCGAATCACAACACTATCTCGAACTTTTGTAACCGAAATCTGAGATGTTGTTGAATCACAATTCGGAAAAAATGTCACATTTTTATTGTAAAGTTTAGCAAGTTATATGCACGATTTATGTTGGATATGGCAACCGCGGATGAGTGAAAGCGCGGATAACGAGAGTCTACCGTATTGTAAAATTATTAATTGCTAGTTATGTTCATTGTGTGTTAATTTTATTCACTGATGTTGATCTTGAATGGAACTGTAAATTGAAGAAATTTGTTTTTCCCCATAAACAAATTTGGGAGCAGATGGCACTACGTGTTCTTCGATTATGTCTTATCAACCAATTTGGTCAGAGGACTCGCCACCCCAGGACAACAATGACCTACCATGGTATGCCACCAGAAGAACCAAACACCATGGGACGTACTTTTCTCTTGAGAGTCTCCATATGAAAATACATACTCTCATCAGAAACTTTCAGGCCAATTCTCCCACAACTGTCGAGAGAATTCGTCCCCAATCTTCCAATGTCCAACTCACACGTTCCTGTGTGAATTGAAGCCTGGCTTTTTTCTGACCTGTGGTAAGAAGAAGTCCAGGATCCGAGTGTCGGGCCTTGAGATTATTTTCATTGAGCCTTCAGCCCTGGGGGAAATCGAAACATTTCGGACTTGTCATAAGATTTCTTATCTCATTTCCCGCGATGCTGTGGTTTTTTAAAGTTATGACGGATGAATCTATTGTCTCTCTCTCATCTGTAGACCTAGGTTTACCCTGAACTGGCTTTCTAGTGTAAAGCCCCGTTTCTCTGTAGCGCCGAAGAACCCTTCTGATCGTAGAGTGGTTTACATTCGGACTTTTGGCGACTCTGGCCGATGGTAAGGAGAGTCTACGTGCCAGGTGCCTGGCCCAGAGGTATTTTCATTGAGCCTTCTTCTTAGTCTTGAAGGAAAGCAAAACATTTCAGACTAGTCTTATCAAATTTAAGAATAAGAATAATATCAAATGTATTCAGGGCTTGGAGGCGGACTGTGAACATATACGTCAGTTTATGCAAATATCATAATATATACAAAATATAAGAATAAAATAAATTACAATTAATTAAGGTTTTTAGTTGAGATGAAAAAAGTTAATGGCACGAGAGAGATTCGAACCCACGACCTTCGGCTAGATACGCCGCTGCTCTACCACCTGAGCTATCGTGACCTCCATCCACTCGGACATCAACTCCCCATCTCAACCCCACCTTATGAGTTTTCCCTCCTTTTGCCATTTTTCAAATGTCGTGTAATCGGTTTGGATTCTCGACGACAATTGAAATGGCGACGGAGAGCTTTAGTGAAGTGTACTTTATTTTAATTCATTAAATTCACTAATTTCGTGGTCCGCTTGACCAATTAATAATTTACAATTAATTAAGGTTTTTAGTTGAGATGAAAAAAAGTTAATGGCACGAGAGGGATTCGAACCCACGAACTTCGGCTAGATACGCCGCTGCTCTACCACCTGAGCTATCGTGAGCTATTGTCGTCGAGAATCCAAACCGATTACACGACATTTGAAAAATGGCAAAAGGAGGGAAAACTCATAAGGTGGGGTTGAGATGGGGAGTTGATGTCCGAGTGGATCGAGGTCACGACAACTCAGGTGGTAGAGCAGCGGCGTATCTAGCCGAAGGACGTGGGTTAAATTATTAATTGGTCAAGCGGACCACGAAATTAGTGAATTTAATAAAATAAATGTCCAGTAATCATAGTTTCAGCCTTTTATTCACCTATTTAATATTAACATCTATAACTATTTCACAGAAGTACAGTACTATTTCACAGTATTAACGTAGTGGTTAAAAAAGTTTTAACAAAACAACAACAGTCTGAGTCCGGGTTCAAGCTTTTCACAGCTAGGTCAATACAGCACCCAACCATGCAGTTCCAAACCCATTCGTACTCACGTTCATTCTTAAGCGGGGAACACGCTTATCCGATGCAACGCTATGCGACGCTGCCCGATGCTACCCGACCCAAGTCTAAAGTCCAATTTTTCATAAGATTGTATTACCCCCTTGCACATCTGCCCGATGCTATGCAACGCTACCCTACTCTACGCTCTGCCATCCCCACTGTCCAGATTTTCGTCGGGTAGCATGGAGTACAGTCGAAGACAAAAGAACCGGGCACACATACTTTTATTCAAACTACATTTAATATTGCCGTTATATTAAGTACAACATATTTATTTTCATATAAACCAAATTAACCGAGATCAAAAATTCGTTAGTCTTTATTCAAAAAAATTTTAATGGTTTGGTAGAAAATTGATCAAAACACCGGAATACAATATTTTGATATAATGAATTGAACTAACAATTTATTACACGGTTTTGCTCATAAAATTTAACTACAATTTTTTATTACATTGTCTTGTTCATAAAATTTAACTAACAATTTATTACACGGTTTTGCTCATAAAATTTAACTAACAATTTATTTTTCATAGTTTTGCTCATAAAATTACACCGTTTCCGTCGAGTAGCATCAGAACAGGACACTCATATTTTTTGTAATTTATTTCAAACTACATGTAATACTGTCCTTATATGAATTACAACATTCTTATTTTAATATAAACCATATTAAACGAGATCAAAAATTCATGAGTTTTTATTAAAAAATATTTAATTATGATGATTAGGAAGAAAATTTATCAACACACCGGAATAAAATACGCCGCTGCTATCGTGACTTCGATCCACTCGGACATCAACTCTCCATCGATGGTCACACTGACTTTCATAACTAAGTAACTTGGTCAATTGACCATTAAAACGTAAAATGGATTTATTTAAAACAATTCACTTTAACAAACAATTTATTACATGGTTGTGCTTATAAAATTTAACTAATAATTTATTACAAGGTTTTGCTCAAAATAGTGTATTAAGAACAAAAGAGCCGTTATGAATGTGGTACTGATTACTGTGGTACTCGCTGTATACAACGTTGGCGAACTCGCACACCCTACGAAAACGTGACAAGGCGTCGGGTAGCGTCGCGTAGGTTGCATCGGGTAAGTGTGTTCCCCGTTTTAAACACATTCATTTCTATTTGTATACCATTCATTCAATAAGGTTGATGGAGTACTCGATATCCGACATAGGACAAACATGGCTAGGATGTAATATTTATGTACAAGTATTTAAATATGCAGTATCCCTGTAAACGCTACTGTAAACGCTGTAAACGCTACGGACCAATCAGTACTGTGTTTTTTACGCGCACAATTAATTATACATTTGTGATGATGCGTATTTTGGTTCGTGCAATTTTAATTAAATTGGCCCATGACGCCTTTTATTTTCAGTTTGATGCAATTATTCTAGTTTAAAACACGAGCGATATTTGCGGTGATTTTATTAATTGAGGATTTTCTTATAATGCTGAAACAATTTAACTTTCATGAGAAAGTCTGGCGAAATGAATCTGTGCACTTAGATCCATAATATCGGTGCGTTAATTGGCATTAATTGAATTTCAATCCGACCCGGAGACAATTGCGGTCCGCCCTTTTCCGCGATAATTCAACATAAGAGGTGAACAAAGGCCATAACTGCTAATTGAAAGTTAAGTCGAAATGGATTCGAGAAAGCCGGGTTGTTGTAATGTGGACGGTATCAACTGGCAGAATTACAGCAATAAACTCGGCTACGTGCTCTGCAGCCGGGAGAGCAACGTAACCTTATATTAAATTCATCGCTGGGTTAAACTTGTACACGCTCAGTTTTTCAGTTATCCGATACCTCGACAATTAGATTAAACGTTTTAAAAAAATCTATCATTTCCATTGGCTACGCGAGTGTCGAAATCTTAAAGCCGTTAAACTTTTTAGTTGGGTTGTGAAATTAAATGGTAATTAGGAATCACGCCATGAACAACTTAACACTTCTTTTCATAAAAATTTAACCCAGCATCGAGTCATTTCATGGTCTTGGACAATACTAATATATTCCCGTTTGCCGTATAAACTAATTATTAAATTATCTGACGATGGAGTAAATCAGGAATGTAAAATATCTGTAATTTTATTTTTGGAAAAACTTTTGGGATAAAACCCTTCCAACATTTCGGAGAGAGGAATTCGGATTTTCGCAAACATTCTGTAAAATATTCAGCCTCTCGTCGAGATTACACTGTCGGTTTCTTTTTGCCTTCACTTTGACATTTTTTGACCAATTAAAAATGTGAATGTACCATTGTTTTCAGCGTAGAAACTCCTTTAAAATGATGTTTCACGATGTGTACGGTCGCATTTGAAATTTTGAAGTTGTACTGGGCCTGAAGTAACCTGTATAATTTTCCTAAAAAAAGGTAAAAATTTGAAACTTGACAGAAAAATATTAAACGCGTTTTTTTTTTCATAGTGTCATTGATTTAAGAGAAATTCAACCGAGCCATTTAAAAAGGACACCATGTATAGACTGCTCATAATTATTGTATAATTAATATCAGGGGGCACAGTTCACTTGAGGAAAAACATATTTGTACTCCA